GTCCTTGTAGAATCTAATTTTTTGTAACACAATGACATACCATGTTATAAAATATACTCTTTTACAACAATATTAGTTGTCATTAAAAATAATTTTATAAGTATAATTAATAGTTACACAAAGAAAAGTTTACCAACAGAACATTTTGTGAAAAATTAATTTAGCAACCAACAAATTGTATATCTAAATAAATTCAACCACTTATAAAATAGGTACTCTTTTAGAATGAAAGTTATTTTGCAAAATAATATTAGAAACAAGATTAATACTTGCCATAAAATAATTTTAGCAATGGCATTTTGCATTGCTCAAAAAACTTTTTCAAAATAATGTTGATAGTTTACAAAAAAGAAAAAAAAGCATTACACTAAGAACTAAGGTTTATGGTGACAGAACTAATTGTTACTATTACATACAATGGTTGGAAAAAAAAAAAAACCACATATAGAACAAAATAACATATTTAATATCTTTAAGAAAAATAATCATCAGATGTGCTCCTTTGTTGCGGAGAATAGCTAGTCATAATCATTTGCCACCACTACAGGTCAATCTCTTGATGCCCAAACTTTCTGCCATTCAAGAGGAGCTCACTCAAATTCTATGACAGCAAAATTGGATACCAAATCAACAAAGGTTGAGAGGAAGTTCTGGCGTCTAGTTATGACCGGAGTTTTCAGCTCAATTCATGCCTTGAAATCAATAGAACTAAGTTAAATGGTCAAAGTAGAATTGTAGCTCTGCCTCTTAGCTTTCCATTGCTTCAAGAATCACATCAATTCAATGTCTATAGAAAAAGTTATGGTCAGAAAACTAACATAAGTTTAGGTTACCAATTCCAATCACCATCAGGGACAGAATTTTGCAACTAAGTTTTCAATTTGATAATGACTGAATTGGGTCAAATGTTTAACAGATAATTTGTAGGCCTGTCCCTTAGCATTTTATAGAATCAAGAATGTACTTAATCCAACATCTATAGGGAAAGCTATGATCAAAACACTAGTATAAGGTCATGTTGTCGGAATTTTTGAAGCACAAATTTTTAATTTTCCAATTTCATTATAACCCAAAATAGTAGATAAAAGACAACTAAATGCACCTGAATTTTATCCTACAAACAGCCCTACAGACACAACTATGACATACCCTGAGAATTCTAGAGTGTCTCCCAAAATTTTGAAACAGAATCATACCTCAGATAGCCACAAAAACAGCAAGAAGAATCACACCGAGACAGCAACAAGAGGCACTCAGAATTTGCTGCACTGTACACACTTAAACCCATAAAATTTAGGGGCAAAATCGAGCCTACCAATCTGCAGAAATATCCGTTCATGCCCTAGGAATGTTGGTTACGTATAGGTTGTTAAAACAACACAATTTTTAGTAGTTTAGATCTGTGGCTCTTACCTGAAAATTTCAAGGCTAAATTCATTAATGTATGTACGGAATCAAGGAATGAATTTGAGTGGTTAAAGAATTTTCTGCAAATTCTAAGTAGGATTAGAGGAAGGGAATAGACTAAGATGGCTGTTGTGCTTCAATTCATTGGGAGAAGAGGGAACCTCAAGAAAGTTTGGGATTTTATAAAATTCAAAACATTAGTATCTCTTATTATTTGAATTAGGTAGACTTTAAAATTAGTTTAAAAATAAGATAGAAGAAAATTAGAGTTATAAACTTTAGTTTGAAGATCACTTTCCAATCTCTTTGGAAGGATTT